GATTTATGATCGAATGCTTAAAATTTACGACGAAAACTGCTCAACACAAAACACAAATTCAATTGGGTCAATAATTTCAAATGATGGCGAAAAGAGGTCTCGGACAAAAAGCTGCTAGAACGCCCAAAATCTGTTTCTCCCACAGAAAGGCTCCGGAAACTAGAGGAACCAATAATGAGAGATCCGCGATTGAAACTGTCCTATTTAGCAGATGAGATGGGTGTTCCGAAACCAACAATTTGTTCCATGTTGACTGAAGACTTCGGTATGAACATGGCTTCCGCCCGTTGGGTACAAAAATTGCTTCCGCCATCTCAAAAACAAGATCGAGTTGACCTTTGCAATGCAAATTTTAACCTATTAAATGAAACCTGGAACCTGATTCATATTTTAATAGTTGGATATGATACTTGGGTTTACTATTATGACCCGGAGACCAAATAATAATTCATACAATGGAAGCACGGGGGGTCGCCCCAGCCCATGAAAGCAAAAGTGCAAAAACCTGCCAAAAAATTGATGATTCCCATTTTCAAGGATACCAAAGGTCCCCTCCTTATAACATTTATTGGTCAAAATACTATGATAAATGGGGCAGCCTATGCAGGAATCCAGAAGGAGCTGTGTGCTGTGGTTGAAGAAAAACGTGGGGTCAAAAAAAAGAGTTGGTGCATTTTTAGCACGCCAAAGCCCCACCGCATACCTGGCATTTTGCGAGGGCTGCTGCAGACGGAAATCGCTTCACCTAGATAAACCACCTCCTGTACAGTCCAGACATGACCCTTGGTGATTATTATTCGTTTCGAAACTTCAAGAAAGACATCAGGGGGAAACGGTTTTCTGATGATAATGAAATCAAGTCGTAAATTTTGGCATATTTTCGAGGTAAATTTTGATGAGCTATTGCTAGTGTTAATGTTAGCCTACAGAACTGAAAAAAATCACAGCATCCTACATGGATTTGAAGTTTGTTATTTCATCAAAAGTTTGGTCAGAAACAGTGCGGAACATACCTTTTGAAAATCAATAATAAAACACCCACGTATTTACTCTCCGGATGTATATGTACGTAACAATAAATGGCTAATACATACAATTAAGTCTTGAATAAACTCTCTAAAATCAATTTCCCTGCATTCGTAAATGGTGATAAATAAATTGGACGAAGAGAATGTTTGCACTAAACTAAAGCGAACATATGAATGAATTTATTTATTGTCGTTTAATGAATACTTTAATATTTTAATCTGACTACTCTGTAGCGGAAACAATACAAAAACAACAAAATTGGTTGTTTTCCAAAACAGTTGGATATAATTATTGCTACTCTAAAACTCTTTCGTATTGTTAGTTATGCTGAAATCAAATGCCTGGATCCAGTTGTTGTCTTTCTGAATTTGAATTTTCTCTATTTGATGTTTATAATCAAGTTTTGTTTGTGTGAAAGTGGTTTGTTATTACAACCTGTCGCTTTCCAATCCAATACAGGTGAAAGGAAATTAAATACAGAGAACGGAGAAGACACATAAGCCATATTCTAATTGCACTTTGTCATTATTTGTCTTGCCAGTATGACTTTTCCCCAAACAAAATTGAGAAATTACAAGCCAGCTACATACGTCACATCAAATATACATTATATACGCAAGATAATTACAATATTTTTATAGAGAAATGACTAACGATTAGTTATAGTTTTATGTAGCTCAAGCTGTGAGTAGCCAACTTCGTTGAACAACAATTTCTTGACGCTTAAAAATTTACAACTGTTCAATTATCTGCTTCCTCGGTTTAATTTGATTCGATTCGACCTTCAAGTGTCTGCTGGTGTCAACTGCCTCAACTTACCACTCCGTTGCTGAAACATACAGTTAGACATTGCAAAATATATTGTAGGCTGGTCCAATTTCGTGCTTCGTAAACAACATTCTCTGTTTTTCATTGGAATTGGAATATGGAGGGTCGAAATATTGGATTTCTGTTAGATATTTATCTATTGCTTCCGTGTAGTCTTAATTTTCCATACATTTCCAAACATTGGAATCGTGTAATATAAATATTCATAAATGATTAATTGGATGAATCCGGTCTACGTTCTTAGTTTTATCCGTTTAATAAGACGGTTTCCTGTAGGCAAATAAGGTTATTAACTTTTTGAAACATTAACTGTACCGTGCAAATTGTCAAATTGTGCAGCATATAACCTTCCATCATCGGCCATTATTAACCCACCGATGAAAATAATTGACATCCATGTCACAGGCTTACTCCACTTGTCGCGTGCATATGCACATTACAGACAGAGTGGGTTACTCACTCTTTGTATATTCTTTGTTAATGAAACATAATTAAATACACATCATGCCTCGCATAAAACTATAAATGTATATGTACATGGATGCTTTCATATGTTCTTCTCTAAGGCATTTTGTTATGTTAAGAATATACTATGCAATTCGTATAAATTATAACCTAAGTTTTATGAGAGTGTCAGATTTTATTTGCATACACAGATTTACGTATGTACATCTAATAAGTACATATATTTTATACTATAATAAGTGCACATCGCTTTTTTCACTTGTTCTGGCAAGAATGGTTTGTCGTTGAATGCAGTTAAGTACATACATAAAAAAAAGTGTGATTTACTAATATATATGTATAAACGAAACTTGTATTTAGGAAGAGTTATCTTTCGTTATTACAACTCTTGGTCTTGTTCTCTAAATACTATATATGCATAATGCAACATAAAATTTCCATTTAAATTTTACAAAAATATTGCAAATAAAATCCCAGAAACTTTCGGAGATTACATACTAATAAAAATGCTGGAAAACATTAAAACCCATGTCTTCAAATGTTTTCACGAAACTGTACTTCGAAGAAGCATGACCCATTTAATCACTTAATAGCGCAGCATGAGTACACACCAAGTCATTAAAACCCAACACCTTTAATATCTCGTAAAATGAAAGTTTATTAAGATTTTGGTCGCATAAAACTTTTTACGATGGCTTGCCAAACCTAACTAAAAAATAAAATATGCTCGGTTGTCTCGCCCTGATTTCATAGCCGTTACTTCGTCGACCCATGGACGTATGTACTATATTTACAAATGCACATCTCTCTACTTGTTTGAATTCGTCATTGCAGTGTAACGCACTGACAACCTCATGCAGAAACAATAGTAGAATTATGGTACACCTTTACCCTTTCTAGTGTATAGTATAAAAATACACTCAGGATTATACATAAGTAAACTAACAAAAATAGTAGAAATTTTTGTGAAATTTATAAAAAGGTAAACCAATCTAAAATTAATCAATTATAATTTATTATTGAATGTAACATGAATTAGTGTAAATAGTAGCAAATAATTTCATTGAAAACTACCGACAAACATGGGTTTACAGATCAATCCTGGTTCGGGTTAAGCTATAGTAGTAGGTTTTAACTTTTAACTATGAAATCTAAACGGTTAAAAAACGTTAATAAAAAATACGATGACCCGTACCTAAAATGCATAAATATTAAACTGTGTCAAAAAACCGATACAAAAGTTAAGTGCTGTTTATTTGTTTAGACTTGCAAATAAAATAACCACACCATGCAGAATAAAAATTGGGGTATTCACCGGTCCACCCAGGTAAATAAATTCCACTGGAAATGTAAATTGTGACGATCATGTCGTGTTGGTTGGTCTGCAGAACGTTGCTTTTTTGAGTCACAAGTTGACAGCTTTTACATAAAGAGCAGATCTCTAGTTTTGTTTTAATGATTACGCATACATATATTTTTTTATTATTTATTTATAATACATTGCACAATATTATATTTGATCTAGACATTTGCTTTGTCGTATATCAAATTTTTCTATTCTCATTTCTCTAATACGTATTTTGTTTGAATGCATCATTAACTTTTCCTCATCCATACATGAATTTGTATAAATCATGTATAGCATGGTCACCAAGACCTCTGGAGATGAGTTTGTCGTCAAAACTCTTCCTACTTACGGGCATGTCATTCCCATAATCTCAAAGATCACAGAAATTATAACGTTGGTTATTTATGCAGTCATCCATTCTGTAAATTGATGACCATGCAGTAGATCCGAATTTTTAGCTCAACTCAACCAAAGAGAAGTTGACTTGAACCTTATAGCTGTAAGGCCTTTGTTTCAAGCAGGACATCATCAACATCATTGAAGCGATTATGTTACATAATGTACCAAATTATTTACCACATCATCATTCACCCATCACATCACATAAACTTATCACATTTACGTGATCATTATTAGGCATTTACTTTTAGTCACCTTGGACTGTAATGTAATGTCACGATTACTTTGATGTTGAGTGGACTCAATGGCGAAAGATTTGAGATACGGAAGGATCAGTCCTTCCGTCGCCTCTTTACTTTTTATTCCATCTCCATTTCCTTCTGTTGTACAATGTTGTTTTGTTATACTTAAGTTGAGGGAACCTTCCAAAAGACATCATTTCTCGTTTTATGTTCCATCACAAAAGAAAAGAGACGACGTCACCGTCACTGTGTGCACTATACTGGAAATACCTCTAGCAAGTATCGTTCTTTTTGGTTACATTAGGAGCTCTCAAGGCTCAAAAAATGAGCGAAATGAGCAATGAGCAGAAAAATAAAAAATCAGATTTTTCTGCTCAAACCTTGAACGTACCACTTTTTAATCGATCATAATTCTTGAGAATCGTGATCTGTATTTGTGGGAAGTTCAATTGTTTGTTTATCATTTTCATGGTTCTAAATTCAGTTTGATAATTACACAAAATGCCGAAAATAACTGAACGTCAAGAGATATTAGAATTTTTATCATTATGTGGTCTTAACATAATATAATGATACCACGCAATCCATGGGTGCAGGAGGGAGATGAAGTTTTTATTGATAACGAGGACAACAATGATGAAACTGTGCCAGTCTGTGAAAATATTGCAGGAGAATTAAAACGAACGGCATTATCTCAAATAATTCATTTTATGCAGCAGCAATAAACAGTTTTATAAATCTCATATTCAGGACTTAGATTTAAGAATTTCCAATTGAATTTTGAGTTCCAGTATTTTGTTTTCGGCTTCGCTAAGCTTCGCTGAATTTTCTCGTCCTTTCTCTAGATTTTTGTTTGCGCATTCCAGTTCTTTTAGTCGCAGCTCTTTGTCCATCTCGAACCTTTTCAAATCTAGTTCGTACTGCCGGTCGAGCTATAAAAATATAAAATTAGTTCTCAATACTTTTTGCTGTATTAAGGATATGGTCATACAAAATTACATGTTGATAACAAACCATCATTTACCTTAAACGCGGTATAATTGTCGACCACATACTGTGCCATTTCAATTTTTATATGTGGTGTCCAGCGAAAAGTCTTTGCCGTCTATCTCTGCAACGCTACGTTTTTTACGACAAATTACAGGATTTGCAACTTTTTCGACACTGGTACTCTAAACCTTGGTCTTGGGACCCATAATGATAAAGAATATGTTTTAGAAAACTTTGCTTAATTTTTAAATGAAAAATTTAAGTAAACAAACAGCTGATGTGCTGATGTGGAGCAGAATGAGCAGGATTATGAGAGAGAAAATCAACCCAAAACTCGATTTTTTTGTTGAGCAAGAAAATCTGATTTTGAGCGAAATCGCATGCGCACAGCCGAGCAAAAAAGATCAGAATGAGCGATGAGCAGAAAAATCTGATCTTTTTTAGAGCTTTGAGAGGACCTATTAGTTCAGTTACTCGGAATCTTCAGTATATTTTACGTTTTTATCAGTTGAAGCCTCAGCCCAGAGACTGTTTTTCCTCAACTATCTGAAAATGAGTGCCAAATTGAGTGCTGAGTTTGAATTTGAGATGATTTCAGTCTCAAAGTGCTCATAATGGTCATTCAATGATTGTTAGACGGTCTTCTAATGGAGTTTGTCATTTGCAGGAAAGCACACGGTAAATTCACCCATCCAGGTTCTCCATCCATACACACAAACACTTGACGGACTTGGCTTCATTTTGAAAGGATTCAAAGTCAAGGCCCACTTGACTTTGGTTTATGTCGTTTTAAGCCGATTGCTCCCATCACGCTGAAGGATGAATGAAAACGGAAACCTTTTGTGCCGTTTTTACATTTCCTCCAAAGGGAGCATGATCTCATGAATATCGATGACAATCGTTGAAAGGTGACCTGCACAAGCATTAGCGGGGTACAAATCCAAAATCCATATTGTAAAAATGGATTTATTTAAGTACCTACTCATAAATTCAAAGACAAATTATTTTATTATGCGCATTATTTTTGTCAATTTCTTAAAAAAATTATGAAATACGTTATAGCTTATTATGAGCATTGTGTACTTAGGATTATTATGCAGAAGCAGTTATGTAAGTATGCGATTTGCAGGCAGAATGGAAAATATATTTCACTTGACAGAATTTATACGGGTTTGATTTCGTCATATTTATGTATATGCATCTTATGCCATTGCAAAGAGAAACTCGTCCTCCTCGGCATAAAATTCAGGAGATGAGTCAACCAAGCAGCACAAGGAGGATAACCGGTCCCTTGGAACACTTTTTGATTTTGATGAGCCTCACGGGAAATAAGTGGAAGAGATGAGTCAAGTACCACAACTTTGTTGACCAGGGTTGCTGATTATGCTCTTCGAATGTGAAACTGCTGCTCTTCGAGCCGACCAGAGTTGTACATAGTTTTATTCCGGAGACTAAATAATAGTTACCTATTTTTTGACAAAGGTCAAAAAATTGTACTTCATTATCACTGGTTTTTGATTTCCATACCTTTGAAAGTGTAATTGATTGAGAACCTTGAATAATATGACTCCTTCCAGCCCTGCTGCTGCGTAATTCCAGATTCTACGTATGGCCGCACATGTGAACACACGTTTGAAAAACTAGTTGGCAATCAAATCACAAAGTCCAGGAAGGCACATTTCAAATCTTAGCAGGATCATGCCAGGCAGCCAAGTAACCGTCAAAAGTATGATAAGATGGCAAGGTGGGTATAAGCTCCTCCGGATCGGATGAGAAGACTCGTCGACTCTCCTCTATTTTTTTGGCCTAGAAAGGCCCCCGCTGTTCTATTTTGTTGAAATGTCAACCCCCTGGCAATAAATCTTATTAAATGACTTGTCTAAAAATCAAACTCCTTCCTTCAAGCCCGCAAAAAGAAGCCAACTTGCACAACTGTCGAGGTACGTACATATACAGTCGTCATAATTCAAGTAAAATTAATATTAATACTTGCATACTCGCAATTTTATGGAAAACTGTAATGTGTAACAGAGTAATATGTAAGAACATAAGCCTTTTTCCCATTTCGCAAATCTGATTGAATCTTTCACTTCACATAAAAATTAATTTTCTCTACAAATGTGCATATGCCTTCTGTTCAATCGAACGACCCCTTCAGAAAGTACGGTATATGTTTGTTACGATAGTGAAAGTCGAGTAAAATTCAGGTCGTATGCTCTCTGCATCTCACTTTTTATTATGTACGTAGGACTGTAGGAGTAACACAAAGTTGCTCTTGACCTTGGAAATATGAAATATCTTTATTGCTCAAATGTCACGCTAAACGCTTACAAAGCTTCAATTCGTCGTAAAATGCACTAAGTTTTTTTTAGCCATAATAGAATGCAATGTTTGTCTCAAATAACTTGAGTTTCTCGTAAATGCAGCTCTCATCAGGAGTTCACTGCTGTAAAATGCGGAATTCCTGTGGTGACGACCATTCAGTTTTTTTGTTGTTCATTGCAATTCAACTATGAATTTGGTTCTTGGAGTTAAGAAATTAGTCCTGTTATGCAAAAAAAGCATTCACGAATTTAAACAAATAATTTTAAAAAGCTTTACGATTTGATATGTAAGGAATGTTGGTCGTAAACCTAGAACTTGCATATCAGAGTTTTCGACAGATTTCGACAGATTTCCATCAAAATCTCTCACTTTAAAAACTACCCCCTTTCTCGATAACCGCTCACGTAAACCAAAAATAAGTAAATTAAAATACACACGTTCGATTTATGAATGGAGTGAGAATGAATAGGCAACAATAGCTAATAGTATTTTGCAGCAGGAACATTTTGACATTTAGTCAAAACAGATGCATGAATACATATCGAGTACACTTTATAAGTTACGACAAATAAATGGAATCCTTTCTATTTTCCAATGCCCACAAACCCAAAACACAACAAAGCTACATCCTAGAGTTTAAATGCTACAGCCCAAACATGACCAGAATTCTTATTCCATTGAAGGAATCAAAATATTGCAAGCAAAGCCTTTTGCTTACGAATACGATGTTCGCTATTCGCTCTTTTCAAGCAACGACATGTAATTTCGACTTCCAACCCATTTCCGTCTCCCGTAAACCGCACACCATCAATGTCTCGGAAATAAATCTCCGTGAACCAAGGAGCAGGCAAAGTAAATGGTTTCAGAGGTGAAATTAAAACGGACCTTTATTACAATGGGCTGTGCCAGTCCATAGAAGAAGGCGGCATACGCAACAGTGGAGGTCAAATGTCACTTTGACATGAGATGCACAAACTTGAATCCCCTTCATGAAAATTGACATGTGTATTCTTGATTTGATGTCGGCACCAACACGAAGCGAATGGGCAAAGTGCATGAAAGTGCCTCTTTGTATTTGCTACATGTATCCGTGAGCTTTGCATGCTTATCTATGTACGTATGCTCAGGGTATATCGAGTAGCAAACCAAGTGGGCTAAATAACGACTAAAAACTAAAATATTAAATGCAATAATTGCATGCGAGTAAAACTACAAAAATTCTGATATGAATCTTACGACGAAGATTAGGAGAATTAAAATACTCATTTCTCATTAGCTTCATATTTGTATTCGGAAGGTATGACCAATTTAAACGACATTTTCTGGAATTATGGGCAATGCAGACAAGCAGGATTTTGCTATCAAATTAGAATCATGCTTATGTCAAGCATAACGGAAAAACAAAATTTAAAGTTTCCAAAGTTTAGCCAGACTATGTATACTTATTTAATTTACTACCTGTGTGTCCGCTGTGTATTTTCTGAGTGACTAATGTTCTGGACTAATTTCAATGAAGGTTTGGTGTCGTTAGAGGAGGTTAAAGTTTGCATCGTAAATTTGTCAAGGCATTGTACATGCATGCATTATTAAATAGTAAGGAAACATAAGCTGCAATTATAATTAGTGAACGTGATGGATTTAGATTAACTTTGAATTGACGTATAAACATGCGTATTCTTAAACCCAAAACCATGCTTTACTCACAAACATATCCAGACTTCAGAGAATACAATGTTATTCCTAATCTCAAATAGGAAGCTTGAGGTTATTATGGGTTTACAACAGCGTCATAAATTACAAGAAATTTAAATTATATTCTACGTACATTTCGTGTGCATAAGTACCTTATATGTCTCTAAGCGTGTGCCCATATTCTGTCTGCTGAATATAAATATTTCAGCAAACTCTAAGATTTCCTGTCTCTCATTTAGTTTGAAACTGAGTGCAATTTGGCAAATAAATGTCAAATAAGTATTATTATTTCTGACTGAGCAACAGCTAATAAAGAAAAAGATCAAAGTTGGTCAGATTTGTTCAAAGTTTAACAGATTTTAAACATTTATGATTAATAAACCGCACAGGGCTTCTTGTCTGCATGCACACGTACGTACGTATGTAGCGATGTATGTATGTGGTTGATTTGGCCTATCCACGTAATAATGCAACAAAGGAGACCAGTTATCATTATTATATGAGCACTTTCGCTTGTGTGTGGTTAATGTGCTGCTGGGAGTTTCATAATAAATTCAAGAAAGCCATAAAGTTGCAAGTATGAAGTGTCTTTAATCTCGACTTGGCTCAACGCAAGTGTGCTCTACGTGATTGTGGGGTGTGGTGGTAACGAAAGTGTTAAGAAACTTCATATCTCCATAAAATACAAAGTTTTAGAATTATGAAAAACTTTTGAGAGGAATGAGATGAAACTTGTAAAATGCTGGTATTTCATCCTGTTAGTTTTTGAGATGGATAGTTTGAATTGTTTGTTTGCTTTTGTTTACTTACCTGCATAGTTTTAATGTTCCTTAAAGTTGAGATTACGAATTTTATGGACACATACACATACGTTATCTTTCCTAGCTAAACAAGCAATTTGGACTTTATGTCATGCGTGGACATATACACACGTATACGTACCAACTAAACGCCATACTAATACTTTATTCATGAGCTTAATTATTTCATGAAAAAATAATCCAAATATAAACATCTATAAACGAGGTTTTTTCATCACTTGGATATTTGATACACACGCGAATTTGAAAATGAGATTCAGTTCAAAATGCCGAATTTTTCATGGTTTCATGAAACCCTCATCATGGACGGATAATCTATAATGAGCTTCTCAGCTGAATGAGATGCCATTGTTTTTGTTACATAGGCGATCGTTATCTCTCTATAACCGGAATAGAAGTATCAAAGAAAAATAGTTACATAGTTTCTTTGGCATTACATCTGACTTTGATCCTCATCATCACGTCACCCACCCACCCATGCAAAACTGTGCAATAACAATTCACGCTCCTGAAATAGGGTGATGTCGAACCCTTTCGTTTTATGCGTGTTTTTTTGGAGATATTGAGCAAAAGTTCATTCGGCAGTTTACTTTTGGCAGAACTGCAGGGAGATTGCTTGCCGGATTTTCATATATCATAAACTTCAATCTTAAAGTTCCACGAGCGCTAGTGCAGTGTAATGAATGTCAGTAATAAGAAATGGATGGAAATG